ATAACATGTCTTCTGTATAAAGTGCTTTCTTTAGAAACAGACAACTCATTAGACAGTTCAAGGTTTGAAGCGGGAACCGCTTAAGTAAGAGAGTGTAGTTCAAATGTCATTTCTAAACAGATTCAAAATTCAAAGTTCAAGGACCTGGGGCCTTCACCAGAAAGACTCATTTTAGAAGCTAGCCAACAATCCAGGCTTGTTTTGGCATTTTTGCCATGTTAGATAAACAATCAAAGCACTTATTTTAAGATTAGCGTAACATGATCAATTCAGACTGCAGAAATGACCACAATTTGCATACTTTATCATTGTTGAATTTAGTTAAAAATTGTAAATAAAAAAAATAGTTGCACAAAAAAATAAGGCTGCTGCTATTTTACAGCAAATGTAAATTTAAAATTGCATACAACATATTTTAAAAGAAGAGGATACAGACATATCAAATTAATATAAAACTATTACTAGGATTACAAAAAGCAACATCAAAAAATATAAAAGAAAATACATCAATTTCTATAACCAGAGTAGGCTGGACAGAATATTTTGGCCTCTTTACGGGAAATTGTTTTGATTGTGATCATATTACTTCCTCTTGAGATGGCTGCAGAGCTGGAAAAGCAACAGAAACAGCTGAATGGGATGCAAGATTTTCAGACTTATGAAATTAAAAATGGTATTTGTTCATCTTTACACTAAACGCAAAGTCAAACTCAAGCCCTCTCTTTACCTCAGTGTTATGACTCTGCATTACGATGGCCATGTGATTCTTGTGAAGACACTGCTGCTGAGCCCCTTAGGAAGAGTTTTCCTTTGTGCTCTCCCTTACTGCTAAGAAAATGATGGAGCAATCCATACAACAATGGCCTAAAAAACACCAAGACAGAGCTATACAAAAAAAAGCATAAAAGAATGGTTCGCCCAAAAATAAAAATGTTGTGTTTAGAGCTTGAAAGAACCAGGTCACCATTCACTACATGGAAAAGAGCAGCTTGGACATTATTCCAAAATATCTCTTTTTATGTTTCACAGAAGGAAAAAGGTCAAAGGCCAAGTAAATGATGGCAGAATGTTTGGTTGAACTATCCCTTTAAGTTTAGATAAAGTGGTAAGCGCGTTTATTCAAGTGAGATTGCTCTGATCAAGCAGCTTTATAGTTGTGCTAGGATCAAGAAACTCATTCATGCAGTAGTTACATCTAGACTTGACTACTGGAATAGTGTTTTGGCTGACTTACCAAAGAGCTCTATCCAACACTTACAATGAGTTACGAATGCAGCAGCAAGAATGCTTCCTCGTACTAGACTGAAGAATCACATTCAGCACTTAAATCACTTCATTGTCTATACTTGTGTCTCACAAAATGGATTTTAGAGCCTCTTACTACATTTTTAAAAGACTTCATGGTATTGCATCAACATTCCTTTCTGGTTGTAATTAAAACAAGGCTGAAAGTAACAAGTCAGCTTTAAATCACTATATGGTCCCGAGCTGTGGATCTCTCAGCCAGACAGCCTATGAGGAGTTGAGTCAAATTAAAGGGGTCATATGATCCCATTTCAAGTTTTCCTTTCTCTTTGGAGTGTTACAAGCTGTTTGTGAATAGAAAACATCCCTAAAGATGCAAAGACTTAAGTCTCAAACCCAAAGAGATATTCTTTATAAAAGTTAAGACTCGTCCACGCCCCCCTAAAACGCCTCGTTCTAACATGCCCCCCACATGTCTACATCACGATGTGGGAAGATTTGCATGACGCAATGTTCACGCAAAGAAAGAAGGCGTAACTTTATTGTTGCTGCCACCGCCGCCGCTGCCATGTTGTGAAGACGTTGTGTGTTTCGTTGCGAAAGCGAAAATACTTTGTTTGGTCTTCCAAAAGAGGACACGACTAGAAATCAGTGGTTAAGTTGTATTTACAACACTGTTCCGGAACAGTTCAACCCAAATATTCAGATGTGTGCAGGGCATTTTATGGAGGACTGTTTCCTGATCCTGGGAGAGTAGACTACAATGCCGGTGTTCTGACTCACAGACTGTAAGTACGTTTTCATATTTAAAGAATTTGCCACTGATGATTCAAACGCAAGTTTTGAGCAGTGTAGAGTAGTGCTTGTTTTTTGCCATTTCTCCGATCACAAAAGTTTTATGTTTACGCGGCACGATGCAACGCAACACGTAAAAAGTGTAAGTATAAGTCATTATAATCCATAATTATGTCCCCACTGGATGTAACAAATGCCTCGTTTATAATGGGTTTTTATTGGTTTTGTCTCGTCGCGCCGGGAGACGCATCACAATATGGTAAGTGACGTAACATTTCCGTCACACGCTTGAGGTATTCGGCCAATCACAACGCACTGGATAGCTGGCCAATCACAGCACACCTCACTTTTCAGACCGATGAGCTTTGTAAAAATCGGCGCGTTTCAGAAAGGCGGGGCATAGAGGAGAAACAATAATGTACAGTATGTGGAAAATAATGTGTTTTTTTTACCTTAAACCGCATAAACACATTTCATTACACCAAATACACAAAATAATGTTCTTCATAGCAACATCATATGACCCCTTTAACACTTTTAGAAAGTATCACACTCATAGCACTCTTTAGTTTACTCTTCTTTTAGTAGGGCTTTTCCATAATTAATTTTTGTAATTAATTGGTGTTTGTTTCTGTTTGTTTATGTCACTGCTGAACAATTTTTAAATCTTTCTAACTAATTAAATTGACCTGCCAACATTTTTACCGGCCCCACTACCAAAAATTATATGCCTTTTTTTCTTTTCTTTTTTAGTTAAAAGGATATTCCACCCCAAAATGAAAATGTTGTCATTAATCACTTACCCCCATGTCGTTCCAAACCCCTAAAAGCATCGTTCGTCTTCGGAACACAATTGAAGATATTTTGGATGAAAACCGGGAGGCTTGTGACTGTCTCATTGACTGCTAAGTAAATAACACTGTCAAGTTCCAGAAAAGTATGAAAAACATCGTCAGAATAGTTCATCTGCCATCAGTGGTTCAACCGTAACGTTATGAAGCGACGAGAATACTTTTTGTAGGCAAAGAAAACTAAAATAACGACTTTATTCAACAATTCGTCATTCGTCAATACCGCATCAATGTAGCACCATTTTGGAGAATATCTGCTGAACGCAAGCAGCGTACGCTGTTCTGTGTCAGCCGCGCTGCACGGATGTGCTGTTTTCGTTCAAATCAAAGTGTAAATACATGTAGAAAACGTATCCTTGTGTCGCGGCTGACACAGAATAGCGTACGCTGTTTGCGTTCAGCGGATATTCTCCAAAATGGTGCTACGGTGATGCGGAGAGACACAGAGGAGACGAATTGTTGAATAAAGTCGTTATTTTTGTTTTCTTTGCCTACAAAAAGTATTCTCGCCGCTTCATAACGTTACGGTTGAACCACTGATGGCAGATGAACTATTCTGACGATGTTTTTCATAATTTTCTGGAACTTGACAGTGTAATTTACTTAGCAGTCAATGAGACAGTCACAAGCCTCCCGGTTCTCATTCAAAATATCTTCAATTGTGTTCCGAAGACGAACGAAGCTTTTACGGGTTTGGAACGACATGGGGGTAAGTGATTAATGACAAAATTTTCATTATGGGGTGGAGTATCCCTTTAAGTGTTAACAGGCCTCAAACTCCCTTACAGTGACCCTAAGCCATCTTCATTGTTGTGCCATGTGCATACAGTACAGTACATGTTCAAAACATCTCTCATGTGCTCTATAAATAAAAAGTTGTACTTACTTGTCACAAATCATGCTTACACTACTTGAATCTTCTGCGACATTGAGCTCACTGGCCAGGAACTCTCGATCTAGGGGAACTTCAGGCTGACCTGATTCTGAGATGTATTGTTTTAAACAAGGGGGTTAGGTTTAAACATCTAACATCATTAATAACAAACCTGACGACTGTAGATTTGTTATAAAACAAACACGCAAAAATAATCATAACCTTAGCCCAACGACATGATGCATTTGGTCATTTTATGAGTGATGGTTGCCATTGAAACAGTTCTGCACTTCTCAGACGCTTCCGCTAGAGGCCAGTGTGGCTCTTACTACGTATATAGTTTTACTAATGCTTAGCCATTCCACTCTAGTACGGGACCAAATAGCAAGTGCACATTTATTTATTTTTGTATAATCATCATCATCAATGTAATTAAGTACATAATTAATAAATGATGAATCTTCATTTTCTTAAAACCAAACCATATTGTTTAATTAAAAAAACCTTTATTACACTCTTTCAAACAACAAAGAGACATCATCATTGTTAAGCACACTCATAATAAATTCAAGCAGCATACCTTAAAGACAGAAAACTGAAACAAACAAACAAATAAATATTTCAAAAATAAAAATAATTACAAGTGATAAATATTAAATACAACTTAATATACATTTATTAAACATATATTGTGCAAGTAATTTAAAGAGTTTAAGGGCATTCCTTTAAAGATTGAACTAAAATAATAATAATTAATCTTCATATTGTTTTTCATAAGCGAAATAAAACCAAAAAAATTATAGTTTTTATTAAAAGCAAACAAACTTGTATACAGCTTATACAAATAATAACAGGCATTATAACTGTTAAACACACAAAAAATTTTTTTAATTAAATAAACAAATAAATAAATACATACATATGATTAAAATTAATAAAATTACAAATGATGAATATTAAAATAAACTTCATATATATTTAATCAATAAATATTGTGCAAGTAATTCAGAGAGTTTTAGGGCAATCCGTTTTTCAGCTGTTTTAAATGTTTAAATAAATGTTACAAATTATTTTTCTAAAATAAAATTAAACAACTTATTATTTTTAAATGATCAGTTTTAGTGGAAAAATTAAAACACACACACACACACACACACACACACACACACACACACACACACATGACGGACCACGTGACGTCATGCGGAAGTGCAGATCGAGTGGAACATTTTCCGCTCGCGAAGTTCTTTGCTCGCTTTTGTCCCGGAAGAACAAGATTTCTCGTCGTGTCAGTTGTGGTCACCCATCGTGCCAAAGCAACTACTGTCTAGCTCAGGCTGTAAAATGGCTGGAACAGCTTTAAAAAGACTCATGGCTGAATACAAACGTAAGTCATGTCTTTGATTACACTAATGCCGTGCAGTGCTGGTGCTTGTGAACGGTGGATTTTACACTCTTTTGGTAGCAACAGTTTGGCAGCTGTAGATACTTCCAGAACTTCACCAACATATGCTGACAGTGTGAATTATTAAAGGGGTCATATGATGCTTTTATAAAGATCATTATTTGGTGTAACAGAATACGTTGACATGCTTTACGAGAGAGGAAAACTTGAAAACGCACCATATGACCCCTTTAAAATGACTTCAGTCAGTAAATTAACAGAAGTGTCACCAAACACACTGAAACTCACCGTGTAACTCCTAATTCATGTTCATACTTCATTTCTCTACACGCGTAACGTTACTGTACTCTAGTGCTGCCACTGCAGGAAAGTGTGTGATGCTTGTCTTCTCTTATATATATATTTCCCGTTGAACATAATTATATGGATACCGTTTGCTCAACGCATTTCTTTCTTTCCAGAACTGACCCTCAACCCTCCTGAGGGGATTGTAGCAGGTAAGAATTAGGGCAGTTACTGAACTGCTCCATTGACCTGGCTTTACAGTAGATTATTTAGAATATTAATAATAATTTTACTTAAATCATGTATTGATTTATCTGTATAAGAAGATCGTTAATTAATGAGACTTATTTCATCCCTACAGGGCCTGTAAACGAAGAGAATTTCTTTGAATGGGAGGCTCTGATTATGTGAGTATTACTCATAGACTGTAAAAAAGACTTTGTTTAGTGAGCGTTTAGTTTTTCCACAAGATAAAAAAGGATTGAAAGGATGAATTTTTTTTTATCTTGCAAAAAGTCTGAAGTCTAGCATTTTTAACTTTTTTTCTCAGAATTCGGAGTTTTTTTCGCACAATTCTGTTTTTTGTTTTGTTTCAGCCATGGAGTAAAAACAAACAAAAATCTTATATGCAAGTTTAAATCTCACAATTATTAGTTAATATATTGCAATTTTATATCGCAATTTTTTTTCCCTCACAATTCTGAGTTTGCATCTTGCTTTTCTATTTTTTGTTTGTTTGTTTTGTTTTTGTTTAAACTATGGAATAAAAAATAACACAAAAATCCCACAATTTTTACTTTATTTTGAGTTTATATTAGGGCTGCACGATTATGACACAAATCATAATTGTCGATTATTCCCTTGAAATTCGAATTGCGATTATCACAATCTACAATGAATGATGTTTACGCCATTGTTTGAAGCAACTGCATGCCATATTTTTATATGAAAATAAACAAGCTGAAAACTTTTATTGCTTTTCTGTAGTTTTAAGCCTCAAATGTCAACTATACGTTGGATTGATTTCTTCTTTAAATAAAAAAGTAAAAATAAGCATGATATTATAATGTTATACTAAAACTCAAATTAAAACAATGGGATAGTTCACCCAAAAAGGAAAATTTGATGTTTATCTGCTTACCCCCAGGGCATCCAAGATGTAGGTGACTTTGTTTCTTCAGTAGAACACATATGATGATTTTTAACTTTAACCGTTGCAGTCTATCAGTCTTATAATGCATGGCAATGGTAACAAAATCTATGAGAGTAAAAAAACATGTACAGACAAATCCAAATTAAACCCTGCGGCTCGTGACGACACATTGATGTCCTAAGACACGATTTTTGGGTGAACTATCCCTTTAAGATAACCTGTAGCAAGAAAAAAAAACACATCTTAAGTACTCAGAATAACATAAGTGGACTTTAAACGATTAATTGCACCTTTGCACAATTATGTAATTGTGGCATCCGTTATTGTAATCGCGATTAGAAATTTGATTAATTGTGCAGCCCTAGTTTATATCTTGGTTCTCAGAATTGTGATTTATAAAGTCAGAATTGCAACAAAAAAGTGTGAGATATAAAGTATCTATATAAGGTAATTGCAACTTTTTTTTAAATAATAATAATAATTATTATTTATAAAAAAATGTAATGTGGCAACAAGCTTCCATGAAACAGATCAGTGTGGGTCAGAAAATGTGTTTCTTGATGCTAAAATGATTCAGTTCAAACTGCTTTTCCCTGCCATGTCTGGTGTGCAAAGAGGGCCAAACAGCCACATCTTGATTTCACAATAAAACTTGAATTATTCTATTATTCAGTTTAGTTTGCAGTGTGCAGATTGAACACTGATAATAACATGTTAAAGAAAATGAAAAATATATACTATAAAATACATTTTTACAATTTAAGAGAGAGTAAAATATGGGTAGTCCCAAATGATCCACGATGCTGTGTGGTTGCTAGGTTTGTTGCTATGTAGTTGATAACAAGGTGTTGTAGGTTATGTACTTTCCCGTATGTAAAGAGCCCACTCCGTTTCTATGATATTGTGCTCCCTACACATGGCTCAGATGCGTTCTTTAGTCTAAGTCTGTGAGATTTAGTTTTTATGCCTATTTTGTTGTCTTCCAGGCGAAAATGTCCTATTATTTAGAAAAGTAATAGCACACCTATCATCAGAAATATGAGATGTCATTTATATCTGTTGTAGAATAAGCACGAAACAAGTTAATCTTCCAATTATAATGCATGAAAAAAAACATAGAAATAAATTCTCAAGTAGAATGATTATAATAGTGGTTTCAGAGTTTCTTGCATTTTTTATCTGCAAATCCACCTTAAAATGAAAAATGACACCATATTTAACTACTACAAGTTACAATATTGTCTGCAAAGACTCAAAACCTATATATTATGCTATGCCATACAAATTCTAGGCTTAGAATCCAATAGAACACCTTTTTTGTATATTAAAAAGGGAACATATTCCTTGCAGGGATGGTTTTTCTGTCACTTTTTACAGTTCTGGAATTTGCAGCTTTCTTTTCTTTTTATTCATTCACAGCATGCACAGCTGTTCGTTCACTAGCATTTAGTCGGTGATGATAACTGATTTAGATTTTGGATAAGACCAAACAATTTGTCCTCCGGTAACACAAACTGGTGGTTTGATCAGTGGTTTTGACCGATACGATTTAAGTGAAACTAAGAGCCAAGCAAAATAAGGAACCGTGTCCCTAGCAACTCCCTGACAGCTGTTCCACAGATACGGAAGTGCGTTCATTTGTGCGCTCCTCATCATGATTTACAGATCGATATCTGCCCATAGAAACAGTATTTGATAGACAGCTGGATATGGTAAGTAAACAGAAAGAGATTTGCATGTTAAATGAGCCTTTGAGAATGATTCCATGAAGTTCTGCCACTGCTGTCAGTGGTGGATGAATTTCTGTGATTTATGACATTGTGTGATTTAATGATTAAAGGGGTCCTATTATGCTCTTTTACAAAGTCTTGATTTTGTTTTGGGGGTGTACTAGAACAGGCTCGCGTACTAGGTTGTTCGAAAAACACATTATTTGTCACATATTTTACATTATTACAACACCTCTCTCCCCAGTCTGGCATGAACGGCTTGAATATTTCCTGTATCAAATGAAGGCCCGCCTTCTGAAATACGAAATGTGCTGTGATTGTTTAGCTGGGCCAGTGTGTGTTGTGATTGGTTAGCACCACTCGGCGCCTGGTCGGGAAATGTCACGCCCCTTACCATAGCCGCCTGCGAGCTTCAGTGTAAATATTGCATCAAACTCAAATCAATTTGAGCGTGATTTAAACCTGGATGATTGTAATCACTCTTAAGTGTCTCCGACATAGTGATAACATTCGTTGGCTTCTCTAGTGCAGCTCAACCAGGTCTCGTCCCATTCGTCGATATTTGTGATAACCCAAATCCCGGAACATATGCGTTGTAGTCCAAACTTTGTAACTTTGTAGATCTTTTTTTATGTTCAAACAGCAACATTATAGACTAACTAAAGTTGAAAAAGTGAAAAAGCATAATAGGACCCCTTTAAGATGAAGTGTACAGGGTTTTTTGTTTGTTTTATTTTGAATGCTGAAGGCTGCAAATCATATTCTCATAAATAGACATTAAAGGGGTCATATGATGCGATTTCAAGTTTTCCTTTCTCTTTGGAGTGTTACCAGCTGATTGTGCATAGATAAGATCCCTGAAGTTGCAAAGACTAAAGTCTCAAAACCAAAGAGATATTCTTTATCAAAGTTAAGACTCTGCCACGCCCCCCTAAAACGGCTCGTTCTAACACGCCCCCACATATCTACCTCACTATGTGGAAATATTAGCATAATGCCGCCCAAATGTGC